CGCCCTCCGCGAACTAAACACCGTTTGTTGGGTGTGCAAACAAGTTCTGATTAAATGAAAAGGTGTCCCGGAACGGGTGTGTCTGTCCTTTACTCTAAGTAATTACATTTCATTTGATATTTGTGTATAATGTACATAATAGGAATCATTCAGTTAAAACTGCCACTTCACGGGGCGAGAAGTAATCATCATGATATGAATACAAGTAGTAGGTACTACGAACTATTTAATATGAACAAAGTTAGTGTGGCTTATCTATAATTGTTAGACATATCATACCTTTATAGGTACTTATTCAAACAATAGCTCTGGTTCCATTATTGTAATTTTGATAGGAATTTCAACTTTTTTGTAAATATAGCCTAAACTACTCATTCGTGATTAGCTTACTATTAGTAAAAGATTATTAAAATTGCTTATCTAATCTGAGTTTATTTTTAACACACAAAGCTGTAATATCAAATCTTTACTCTTAATAACATTATTAAGAGTTATAGACTACTAAAATTGGCTTGGTTAATTCGATTAAAGGAGTAAATAACAAGAAAAATAATCTGAAATAAAAAGTTGCAACACGAAACAAATAAAACAAATGGTAAACCGAAACAGCACGCAGTGAACTTGCAAAAACGGTTTCACTTACAATATAAAATAGGTCAGGATTTTTTATATTATTACCAGTTCAAATCAACAGTCAAGAACGAAGTCACTCTTACGAAATGAATTATTTATTTATTTAATGCAAAACTAATTCTCTGAGATTAATTGGCATGTTATCAAACGCACATACTCATATTACAGAAATAATAATATTGCTCACATTAGATACCGTACCATATACTTATACAATAACAGTTCCTTGTTTGGTTGTTAGATAAAAAACACAATGTAACCGTTACTCGTCACTTACGGTTGTGTTAATCCTGTACGGAATGATCTACTTGTCGGAGCCTGCACCGGCGCAGTGGTGCAGCTGTCCTCGCGACCCCAGGTCTTCTCCCCTTCACACCGAAACACTATAAATACCTTTTCGGCTAAGACACGCAAAAAATACGTATAACGGTGAGATTTACGAAAATATATCGATTGTGGGAAACAGACAATTCTCGTCTCCCTAAATTTCATATTATTATAGAAATTGTAACATTGTGAATAATAGGGAAACAGTATTTCTTTGTACTTGTATTTATTATTATATTTAAATAAATAAAAAAGTCTTTTATTCCATGCATTTACAAAGTATTCTTTCATAATATTAGTTTCTACTGCACTACTGTAACAATAAGCAACTTTAAATATCAGATAGAATAACCATAAACACACATTAAATATTTTTTTAATTCAAGAAATGTGTTATCAATATACAGTGTCATATACACAAGTAGTCTTGTAGATTTCCTGCCAGTTATTGTCAATTTATTAAAGAAAAGAAGATTTCATTATGTACACACATATACATAAACTTTGTTAATAGATAGTTAAGTTCTAATCATGCATTAATCTAAAGTTAGTTTAAGTAAGTCAAGTAAGTAAGTTAACTTATCACAACCTTTTTGCTTTTAATTCTACATTATATATTATTATGTTAAAATAATGTACGATACCTTACAAGGTATTGTACTAGGTATATTATGTATTACACATAATTTTCTTAAAATAAATCACTATTTATTTTAAGAAAATGTGTTGAACTAATACTAGTGTAAAACAATTAATGACTTACTATTGACCGTTATATTACATTATCTTCTCTATGGTTGAAATTATTTAAATCCATTTTAGTATTTATAAAGATATGAAGTTTTTGGTGCATGTCTGTATCTATAGAACATTTTTTTAACATTACACACTCTAACGTATTTGTTTAAGAGGTTGGTTGGTTTAATCGACAATATTTCTATTGTTTCATTACATTTTATTCTCCTCACATTGTTAAGTAGTTTCGCTGTAGCTTGGGCCAAATTACGAATTTGTTTATGCTTTACTTATCAATAGTCTTCCATAATGTTAATTCGACCGGTTCATCATCAAATTGTCGAACTTGCTTTAAATTTTTGTTAAAATTTATAATTAATGTGTGAATTCGGAGACTAAAAAAGTTTAAATATATTTTTTTGTATATAATAAGTGACTTTATAGTAGATAGTCATATCTACCTATTTTTTAATTTCAGTAATTTAAAGATAACGATTTAACAAGATAACGATGCGTTGAAGATTTAGTGTTTATCTTAATAGGTGTCATTGTTCCATAATGAATAGTCTTTAACAGTGATAAACATTAAGCTGTAAAGAAATTATTTAAAAAAAGTAGATCATTAGTACTGATTGGCACACTAAAGGACAAACTAATCAAGATTTAATATGATTTAAGCAAAACGGATTATTTAATAACAAATTTTAACAATATATTTACTATTCTAAATAGAGCCTAGACTCCTAATAAAAACTTAGATATCTATAAAATTAACTTATTTTAGATCAAATTACGGCTCAGTGGTCGATTCGCACAGACTAAATTAATTAGTAGTCGAATCGATATCTTTAGAAAAATGTGGTGGCGATTCGCACGTTTTGTATTTTAACGAGAAAAAAAGTACAGATGTGCACATGTGTATTTTAGACAATTTTTTTATTGCCAATGGTGGCAGATGAGCCAGCGGCCCACTTGATGGTAAGTGGTAACCGGTCATGGACTTCGACAATGTCAGGGCCACACTCAAGCCGCTGCCTACCATGTTAAATTTGATTTACTGAATACTACTACTCCTAATCGGAAGTCTCCATGCACAATTAATTCTTTTTCCCACTTTTAGTATAAGTATTACTCGTACTGGGTGATTATAAATAACATGCAATATAATAATATTAGGCTCTACGTAACCACAAGTCTTAAAACAAAATGAAAACACTCTTTATTTAGTTTTAAAATTATTTAAAAACAAGCTGTCATTTGCGACTCCCTTCGTGTGGAAATTATCTCATGGTTACCACTTAACATCAAGTGAGCCGTTGGCTCGACTGCCACCATTGGTAATAAAAAAAAGTGTCGAATAATTATACATATTTATATTTTTTCCTCGTTACCACATTTTTCTACAGGTGTCGATTTACACACTAATAAATTCAGTTTTTGCGAATCGACCACTAAGCCGAAATTACACCCAGACACAACAAATAGTTCCATCACTCAATTATAGGACTCACAGGATGGGAAGCAAACCCACGACCAACTACTAGACCAACAAACCAGTGAAAAGCATATGTAGTGATATAGTCATTTATAATTGCATACCATATCATCCATATGTACGTAGGATATAAAAATAGTACACTGCGTTAGAAGAAGGCCGTAAAGGGAATGTACGAGGGGTGAAAGGTGGTCGGTGCGCGGTGACGCGGTGACGCACCGGCCGCGTAGCGTGTGCCGAAATCTCAGCTGTTACCTCGCTTATTCATACAGGCTGATGTTTTTGCTAAACCTTTTATTTCCTAATATTCTAAGTAATTCCTAACAAACCTACTGTCATTATAGGTTCAAACATGAAAATGAAATCTGTACAACTTGGAGTATCTTGATATAATAAGTAAAAATTAAATAATATCTGTCAATCACTAATAAAATTATCTAGCAGAGTTAAACCTCGTCTTAGAAGGATATTTTCTAACATTTTAAACGGTTGGTAACTATTACTCTTGCTCACCGGTTCTGTTTGTAACTAATACACTGCCAACATTATTAAATACGGGCATTGTATATATATTCCTTGTATGTTACGTATTACAAAAAGCTTATTATAATATCACATATTTATCTATTTAATTTGCTCATAATATTAAAAACATTCATTTAAAACCACAACACAATAAGTATAACATCATTTTAAAATTTAAAGCATCCTGTATAAAATCCAATCCATCTGTATTAAAAGTGTTTATAAAAGCGTTGAATGGCCCTGTGCGCTTTATATAGAAAACTCTACAGCTATGCCATTATTTAAAATTAAACTACTCACCTACCTGCAACCACGTCTCTTAGGGGAAGAACAGCAAAATGCAGTAGTCATTTTTAGACAATTTTGAACCTTAGGTGTAAATACATGTTTTTTCGTAAATAAGCAACTTGGCACCGTACTGGGAAGAACTTAAGGTTTACTTCCGACTTACAATATAATACGTAGGAATAACCGTAATAATCTTTCCTTATTTTTAAAACGACGCTTACGTTCGGATCACAACTGTACTTAAAACGTTTTCGCTCCCTATATGCGTAACAATGAATGAGGGAGACCCTAATCGTGGTTCGAGAATTCAAAAGGTAATAAGTTTTTATCGCTTGGTAGGAGCATCAGTGAAGGTGATAAGGCATTTAGGCTGTTACGTATCGTTGAGACTGTTCCATGCAGATGTGCGATTCGGGTACAGACATGTGATTCTGCACGCGCAGCCAGCTGCTGGCATAGCTGTGCACTGATTCAATACAATGCAGGGTTGGACTGAGCTGGTGGGTGCTTATGCTTTGTATAACATTTTATGTGTAGGCAAGCTCAACAAATAATGATACAAATCTATACAACAATGGTAGGTACCGTTCAGGTGTCGGGGGTTCGCTAGTTGGTTTATCATAATAATAATAATAAACAACATAACTAATTAAAATTTTCAAAGTTAATCATCTACTTAGCAGGTCCTAAGTAGAACATTAACTTTGAAAATTTTCAGAACAATATACAGACAAACACAATAATTAACGACAATATAGCAATCACTTTACCATTGTTTATCTGTTTATCTGTTAAAAATTACTTTGCCTCATCAACAATTATATATTTAAATAAAATGTGTTCTGTTCATATATTACTAATGTGTCATGGTAATATGATATGAATATGTTAATATATATGTTTTACAGTATATCTAAGCATAAAAGTTATTGTATTGTACACACCTATGTTTAAAAATCAGTGCAGGACGCATTTAAATTTCATTTGTATGTAATGTATGCAAGAAATTAACCGCCAATTGTGTGACATTGAGAGCGAAGCTGGTATCGCGCACCACCTGCCCGCGGCGCCCCTGTCCATCGCTATTTCCGCCATAGCGCACGTCCCCTGCGCCGGCACAGCTCGTGCCGCGACCGTTACGCACGCGCCCCTGCCCCCGCGACATCGCACCTGGTCGACGCAGCCGCCCGCCCCATAACATCACACTTGCATACTTAATAACTATGTAGTATATGATGATACTTCTTCATCAATTCTTAAAAAAAAGTTAAATAAAATTCCACGATTTTATTGTTTGATAACTTGTTTTCCTGACAAGGTACTTTTAAAGTAGGTCCTTGTCCATTATCGACATGTCATTCAATTCGATAAATCAGTACGTCTAATGTTGTTTACCTTTAACTATCTTCCGTACTATGTTTACGTTTCCCAGGCGTAAATCGAGATTACGCGTTCATTCACAAGCATCCAAATAATTAGTTAATGAGAAACGATTTGTTTGTTGTACATAAAATATCATTACCACCTACTTAGTGCGCCAAAAGCCTGTGATGACATGTTAATGAAGAAGTAGTTAGTGGTATATCGATAGAAGTGATAAGGCACAGATTTAATAAATACGATTGAGATGTTGATGTGAATTACACGTCCATCCCTTGACACAATTGTGATATGAGAGCTGACTCACAAGTCACAAGGTGAATTTCACTGAGCCGATTTCATGGCGCCCGTCATCGCGAAACCGATGATGCACTTGGACATTGATCTTGCATTACCAGCAATTACAATATGGTGAAATCACTACATCATACGCCGGACATCGGATGAGCAATACTTTCTTGTTTACTATTGAGTAACTTACATATAAATAGGTAATAAGTCTTTGTTTTGGTGTTTCGTAATAAGTCTGCGTAAATATTACGTACATACATATATAAACTTTTCCACGTGTTTTTATTACATCGGCTAGATAATTGCATATACCTATGTAGTATACTCGTATTAATACATGAGAAGTTAGCAAGTACTGTTGTAAATTGAGTGAGTGAGTGAGATATCAATACTAAAAATATACCAAACCAGGCTCAAAATGAAAAACAACTTAATAAAATACCTAATTTAATTAGATAAACAATTAATACTAATAATTACAAGTTAAAGAATTAATAAAAAGTTGAAGCCGCGGTCAAATAAACTGAGAGTATGTAGGTACATTTGAATTCTATCAATTTGTCACGTCCCTTAACCCAGTACGTAGGCACTACACGCTAAGTAGTAGTATAAAGGGCACAAAAGTACATTGAATAGGAAACAGAATTGTAAAACTGTGTGCCAGTTAGGGACATTATTCAAAAATACCTAATGGGTTCCAGCATTATGCATATAACACCTTACTTCAGCGGTAGTTAACTTGTTTCTGTGAGAAAACCAAAATTGCTCAGTGAACAGTCTGACCTGTGGGAATTAACACTGGTCACATAAAAAATATTACAAAGACTCTATGGACGTTATATTTCCGCGTTGGGAAGGGGTTGTAAAAATATCTTGTTTGGTTTGATACACACAAGGAAATGTTTTTGTTAACGATCTGCAGTATAAACGGGTTGGCAACCTTTCCGGTTACGGTTTATTACTATTATTGAGTTAGGTATCCGTTAGTCTCGATCGTGAGAGTTTGAAGTAGTCGATACAAATAGAAGCATTTAATGGATGATTTTTTATTTACACCAATTATTTATTCGTATGGAAACAATAGATATCTATTCTTTAATTTTCGATATCCTATATTTTTTAATTTTCGATTTCAAACAAATCACGTGTTATAAACACAAACTTAGAATAGGTATTTTTGTGTATTAAAAGAACACGTACCTAACAACATGTACCTGCTTCACAATATGGTGCTAATTCAGCATTCCGCACGCATGCAACTACATAACTAATATTTTAATTATACTCGTAGTGCATGTTTAGGTATAAAGCTAAGTCTTAGTTGTGCGTTAAAGAGCCTACCTTTTCATATGGCAAGTGTAGAACAGATATGCAAACTAAACTTCCGTGTAACTACGAGAGATATGATAAGAATTATTCTTACATAATCGCGTATCGCAGAAACGTTAAAGGAAGAAGAATCGTAACAGGAAGGAGGACAAGGTCAGTGAAGACGATAACTTTGGCCTGTGTTGAACAATTAATAATAATTCGTAACCAATGTGTCATCAGTTTCATATAACATACCTTTAGCGCTAACTAGGTCGATACATCATTTGTACCCATATGCCTTTTGATTACTGTTTCTTTCTGATCGTATTACCGACGTTTGTCTGCGAACCTTGAATGACGTATCAAAGTGCGTTCTTTTACAGTCACTTCAAACGATATGTGGGGACAACCCATGTCCCGCTTAGACTTTAGGTATCTACAAGAATATTTTCTTAAATACAGTTTCAGAATATGTTGTTAATAGGCTACAAGAATATATAATACAAATTATTTTTGTAGGAATTCCTATTACAGTTCTCACAAATTTTGAAGAAGTTGTAAGAGTAAGAAAAAATATTTTTTATTAATTCTGAACTGAGATGAAAAATAGGCACAGTCACCTTAAGAAAAGTATTTGCAGCAGAAATACTTTATAAGTATTCCTAGCGATTTGTGAACTAGTTGAAATTCTAAAATAATAAATAAAGATCCTAAATTGATTTTCGAATAATGGATCCCATTATGATTTCATGAAATTTTGCATAATACTCGTATCTAACCGCCAATTTTGATCGTCAATCTTGCATAGGCAGCGTTACTGAGAATTGTGATTCAACTGTTCCTTGATAGAATAATAAAACTCCTCTCCGATCAGAATATTTTAAAGGCTTATTAAAAGAAGTACGTACGGGTATGGGTATACTTACCTATGTACTATGTAGTATACTAATATATGGTAAAAGAAATAAACGATTTGTCTACTGATGTTTGTCTTTTTTACTAAATGGTACTTTTACATAATATATAAATTTACCTATTAAAGGTTCATTAAATATTTTACCGTTACAATATAGTAATCATTTTAAAATGTCGTCCAGCTGTTGCTGATGTCGTCAAGTAAAATGTACAATAGATGGAAGTGAACAAAGGTATCAGAGGCATTCCAAAAAAATAGCATTGGTTCAGTTCAAAGGTGCTTAACCCCAAGAGTTGTGCAAAAAATCGTTTGGTTCTCAGCGACAGCGTACAGACCGGTGCTGTGTTGAAGCTGGGCATATCGCACTGAGAGGCAGCGGTTCCGACGGGTGCGGAGGCGCAGGTGCCGCCGCCGCCCCGCGCCGCGCGGCTCCGCTATTGGCCCAAGCCCCGCGCCCTACACCGATTGGGTACGGCGCACGTGCGAGGCCTACCCGCCGCCACCTGGTTACGACGCTGACGGGGAGCACTATATAAACGCGCAACCTTCCCTCACCGCACCACTCGAGCTCAGGACGTCGACGAGTGCACGTATACGTTAAGCGCGTCCCGAACACGACACTACTACCGCGAAACCGACGATACCTTGTGATGTTTGGATTGTTACGATTTATGATTTTAGTGAATTTGTGATACGTTTTACAAACTTATTATTCAAGACTTTTTGAGTGTTTTGTGAAAATTGTGCAAGATGCTCGTGGAGGACTCTCAAGCGACTCGTGCTTTAATGACGAAGAAGTACGCACATTGCCCGCTGAAGAAGCGGCCAGTTTTAGTGCGGGAGGAGCGGCCGGCGACACCGCCCACTACGCCGCCTCACCCCGCCCATCTCGCCACGCGTCTTTACTACGATTATCATTGTAAGTATCGTGTTATTACTAATTAATTATTTACTATTAGCACCCAAGTTTAGTTAAATGTAAGAAAGTTGAAGTACCGCGTTTAGGAATTGACCCAATTCCTAAGTGTTAAATGAGCAATGTTTTTTGACACTAATTATATATATCTATTTCTCTCTCTTCTGCTATACTAGATTTTATTAATGTATATATCTCTTAAAGTACCTTAATGTATTTAAATAAAGCATACTTATTACAGCAATTTTTGGGTTTTCAACAAGTTACTAAATTCCTTCTTTCTATTTTGTACAGGTGACACAGAAAATGACGAGCCACAAAATCTCAGCACGAAACCCGAGGATTTATCAAAGACTGGCAACTATCCGAGTAAGGCTTCATCTCCAGTTGCGACAGCAGCAGTGAAGATGGAACCTCGAGAGTGGCCTCAACAACTTGAGTATTTGGCAGCCTGTCGCGCAAGACTCGAACCCGCGCCTGCTGAACTCGCTCGCCCCACACCTCAATACGCTTATCTACCAACGCTCTACGCGCCGTACCCTCTAGAAGAATTGTATCCGGCAGCACCATCGCTATCACCCCCTGCACACCCGCAGATGTACGCTCACTATTCGCCTGCCTCACCTCCTTCATCATGTTCACCCCCACCATGCCCAGAAGATTTGCGTTCACCTGGTTCAGTATCCTCTGACTCCGGAATATCTGTGTCAGCACCCCGCCGCCCTCGATACCAGTGTCCAGATTGTGCGAAATCTTACTCCACCTATTCTGGACTTTCGAAACACCAGCAATACCATTGTGCAGCAGCAGAAGGTAGTCTCGCAAGGAAATCATTCAGCTGCAAGTATTGTGCAAAAGTGTACACATCTCTCGGCGCGCTCAAAATGCACATCCGCACTCACACTTTACCGTGCAAATGTCATCTGTGCGGTAAAGCTTTCTCGAGACCATGGCTTCTGCAGGGTCACATCCGTACGCACACTGGTGAAAAGCCGTTCTCTTGCCATCACTGCCGTCGCGCATTTGCCGATAGGTCGAATTTGCGCGCTCATCTCCAAACTCACTCGGATGTTAAGAAATACTCATGCTCAGGTTGTGGGAAGACGTTTTCTCGAATGTCACTTTTGAGCAAACACTTAGAAGGTGGATGTGGTGTCCCTGGTGCTTCAGCTTACGAGTACAGGCCTGAAGCACTACCGGCGACGCATACGCATCAGCAGCTCCCTCCAACAGCCACTGTTCATGCGTATTAGAAAGACTGAGCGCTGTAGGATCCCGATCTCGAATTTAGATGTAAATCCTCTAAAAATAAGCGTTGGCCTTGCGGCATTTTAGTTTTAGTATTTAAAATTAAATTATTTTTGTAAATGTTTTAAAATCTTGATTGCGTGTAAAATTCTATTTCTATGTTACATGTTTAGGGGACACAATGTAAATTTAGACACTCTAGTGTAAGTTAAAGTAAGTTATTGTAAGTTTATAATTTTGTCGCGTCCATCGCGACTTCGCTAGTCATATGGCATCTGCCAAGTGTCATACACTTAATAAAAGTATATTTTGTATCCTAAGCCATGTACAAAGTGCCTTAAGTATAAATGATTAATATATTCTCAACAAAGTATAACAATATGATATTATTTTGATATGGTTGTTTTATATTGAAATAATACTTATAAATGAGGCTATAGTTAAGTCGATTGCCAATCGCGTTCCTTTCTGTTACCTCCATACGCAGAAAATTAAACATGACATAATTTATATCTATTTGTATTTTTTACAATTTCCCACTCCTAAACTCCACAAAAAAACTGTTCTTATACAAATGTGTATAAGTCCCCTGGTATCGAATTTGTAAACCTCCTTGTGTTAGTTGTGAGTTCACGTTGTTTGGGTACCAGCGGACCACTGTCGATCGCATGTATGACAAAAGCTACCAAAATTCTGTCTCAAGACGTTAACACGGAAGAAGGAAACAATGATTTTGTTCAACCTATATTTATTAAGTGTCATAATTTTAAATTAAATATAATTGCACAGATGGAATAAGACATTTAGTGAGCATTCTTATAGTACGTATTATAGAACACAACGCGGTAGTGATTCTTAAGAAGCCCACATAATCGTACATGCTTATGTTTACAATTAACCTGCAAACATTTACCTTTTAGGTATATTTATTTCTCTTCGCTTTTAAGTTATTATTAGACGTAGGTACAGTCAGCAGTACCAACTTAGATAAATAAAAAATATTTTAGTGTATAGTGTGTAAGGTTTAGTGTCTAAATAACTAAGTGTGACACCCCTACTAAGTGTGCTTGTGTGACCACTACCTTCATTAGAGCACTATGGATATTTGATACTAAGTAGTAAAAAGCTAGTAGGTATATTTTATCAGAATTTGTGTTTTATTTAAAAGTAAAGGGCTATTTTCAGACCTGAAGAGTTTAAAAAGTTAGCTATGTTATCTGTGAAAGTATTTTATTTTCAGAATAACTCCAACTCAAGACTTCAGAAGTTATGAATATATTCTATTTTGAATTAAGGTAGTTTTAAAATTTAGTAAATTTAATGAGGTTTTTTAGTATGAATATGATGAGTTATACATGACGTATACGCATACAACTACTAGTTGTAGACAGTTCCACATACAGATGCATAGGTCTTTCAGGTTCATATATTGAAGGACCTGTTCCAAAACCGAAATCATTCATAAACAGAGTTATGCTTGTACGTGATACAAACAAAGTAGTACCGCGTCTAGTTTAGATGCAATTTGTGGTTTGGTAAGTGGTTATTTAACGGCAGCGAGTTTATCGACGAGACAATAGCGGAGAACACCGGGGCACCGGTTTGATGTGGGTCGAGCGCCGTGTATTAGACGGTGGGCGCCATTCCGACGGTCACCCGGCCACGAGGTCAACCCTAATACCTAATTAATGGAAATACTTACCTTAATTTATTAAGTTAAATACTATTAACTTCTAACTTGGAAGATATCCACTACGACTACTATGACTATTAGAAGTGTCTGTCGAAAATTATATACAATGTACGTACGCAAATAAGTTAATTGATAAACAATATTCCATATTGAATTTTAAAGAAAAGTAAAGAGAAGTAGAAAACCTTTTGATCGATCACATTTTAACATAATAATATCCAATAACTTTCTCATACTCTGATTTAAGGTATATTTTAATTGGTGTGTGGAAGACGTCACGGGTCCTCACCGTGAGTAACAGTTAAATTCCAATCTAATAAACTACCTCTATTCTACTACTAAAAATCTCAGCAACTGAGAGTTTGCTCTCCAGCCCGTGACTTCCACGGTAACCGGTGAAAGCTCACACCTTGCAGACCTGTACATGTGATATACCTACGCTTCTTTATATTCTACAACAGATCTATTAAAGATGTTCTAAAAGCGTCATATAAATAAATTGCCATAATAAAATAAGTGACATGCCATCCCTATAACACAGCGACCTGCTCATTGTAATGTCAACTGCTAGCACAGTTCGTAGACCCGTATGTGTGTATCTCATTATAACTTTGTAATTCAAATCATCAGACACGAGACATTGTTTCCTAACATTTAAGCGAAACGTTGGCTCACCCGATGAATAAACATTTTAAATTTAATTTACAACATAATCCAATAAGTTTATCAGAACGTAAGGCCGATCATGTCGCTTACTAGTCCGATAGTTGTCCAATAAGATATACATCTTACTGCTGACCCCTGACCCTGTCAGGCAAGTGCACGTTTCTTAAACATCAGAGACATAGTATTGGCACTTTCAAATTAAGCTCACTTTTCTATCGAAACGCTTCAAATTAAGATTTTATCTTAATGTCGTTGTGCAACTTTATTTTTATAATCAGTATTTTCATAATATACTAGCGACATCTCTGGACGAAACGGAAAACGTAGAATAATATAAATCTACGTTTTTTTTAAATTTTACGTTTCTTTCGTCAGAATTTTACTTTGAAAGAGTGCAGATGAACTATTCTGATAAGGTAACCTTTTTTGAAGTAAAGTTATACTTGAATTTATCCTTAGAATACAAATAAATCTTCTATTGTTTGTGTTTAAATTATAAAAAGCTAAAATAATGACGTTTTGTGACTCCTTGTTAGTGTTACGAGTATAAATTTACTTTAAGAGATACGCGACTCATTTACCCTGGCCGACACAATGGTGAATGAGTTGCGTAACGAGTTTTCTCTTCAAAGTTATATTTAGAAATTGCATCCAATCTCAGGATTCGATTCTTAAAAATTTATAAAAAAAACACACAAAACTTGGCCGTCGTAAAAATGCCGCATATGTCGATATATATGTAGCAGTAATTGTCCAACCGCAAAATATAAGTATGTAATCGTGTCTATTTTCATGATTTTCTTTATTTGTATTTATAGGATCTTGCAAAAATATGAATGGTTTTAAATCAATTAAAACTATACAATTACGACTGCACGGATGGCGTAGTTGTTAGCTTTCGCCACCCTGCTTCCTACTAAACCGAGTGTTGTGGGTTAAACCCCCACATGGGTGTGCTTACCTATGTTTCTGAAGTATTATCTTTTGTTAAAATAACTTTCTACAGCTTTGAGGCAATACAGATACAAGTATTTGATGGTCATTTCGAAAGGATCTTGCTTTCTTTAGGTACTGGTTAAATTTTGCTAAGCTATTCGTGAATATACACCGCTATTACAATAGCTATATATGGTCTATATTATTTTATACGAATGCCAATTAGTAGCTGTGAGTGAAGACGTCTTGAGAACGCGCATGCGCGTGCGAGTCTCAGTGATTGGTCACCAACGACCACCGGCGCGCGGTCGAACGGCGCGTGCGCTGCGTCGTCGTACCACAGCCAATCCAATGCATTCTCATTAATTAATTCTGTTCCTATTTGCATCGTGATTATCTTATCTGATATCGATCGCTGATATGCGGTACCAATTAGAGTTCACACCTAATAGTCTAATAGAACTTTGAACTTTTCTATTAGTTATAACTTATAAGTGATCTCCTTAAAGATAACGCCAACGGATTTCGACACTAATTCGACCTCGTTCAAGAAGAGCTTTGGCATTGTTATGTTTAATTATTTATATCTTTTAAACTGCAAACATATATAATGTAGTACGTAGATTTTATATAGATAGTGAAGAGAACGCGTGTACTCGTAAAGTAACACTTAGCAGAGTTACACAACCTGGTTCACTTGGATATACCTAAGTAGGTATAATAATAAATAAGTTGGTGAGGAGTCATGTACGTAAATATCTAGATCCGTCTAGATTTAGCACTGGCGGCGGCAATGGACCAAGTCAAGTCGCGATAAGCATGATTTGTTACGTCGCGCGTCGGCGCGTGCGCACAAATAAATGTGATTTCAATGCGCACCTCTCAATAAATTACCTAACCCACTCTTGATATGACATTGTAACGATTTATAATCTCCTCACATACGAATGTTTGCTCCAATGTTAGGGATTTCCGCCTGCAAACCTTTGTTTTACATGTATTGATGTCAACATTTTCAACCATTAGACGGTCGATACGTCTCTGTTTCGAAGTTGGGCATCGTAATTTATTGAAGTGTTGATTACTTTAATAGATACGTGTAATAAAATCAGTTTGTCTATAAATTGTTTTGCACAATAATTTAATCGTAGCACGATTAATCAGATAAACATGGCCAATAAAATAATTCTCAATAAATCATATATTTAAAGCCTGTCTTGTTGCTGCTTTATAGATACTAACTTATTACAACAAGTCATATTAACTTTCTGAGACACCTGTATCATTTCTATATATTAATACGTAAGTAGCTAGTAGCTTAGCCTAGTAGTCCTTAACCTAGTATACTTAAATTGAAACTTTTTGAAAATACTTATTATTTATGGGCCAAATTTGGCAACGACGCTAAAGGAACCACGTGCCTAATGATGATATTATATTAATTATTAAGTAGTATATAAAGTTTAAATTACTTAGTTTACAATAAGTTATTCTTATTAATAACTTTTTGTATTTTTTGAGGTCAGTTTTTTTTCACACAAAAATGTTAATTAGAAGCAAATTTTTAAACTCACCGTGTAATATATAATTAAGATATAAAGAAATATTGATAAAGTTTTTTAAATAATTGTGTAATTTTCAAGGTGAGTGTAAATCCTTAGACTATGATACCTATGAGAACTACTATGCTATGCTATGAGAACTATTTGC